CTTTAATATATATATATTAAATACATATATATACATATATATATATATATATATATATGTGTATGTTAAATTTTTATTAACATTAAAAATTTTGTAAAAATTTTATACTGTAAAACATTTGTATTTACATAAAAAAAAAATTTGTAAAAAATTAATAAAGTATATAAGAATTTAATGAGAATTTTTAATAAAATAAGTATTATTACAAACTTTAATTGACTTCTTAGCACATGGAACATTTATTGGTAATCTTCGTTTGGAACCACATAAACCTACACAATTACCAATTGATAGTACATTTCATTTTGGAGCTTCTACTCGATATTATATCATTAGAGAAAGACCTCAAACAGGTACTAGACCTATTATTGAAGAATTAGAAAAACTATCAGAAGATACAGATGCTGGTGGTTTATTGGGTTTACCTGAAACAGAAACAGAACTTGATGTATGCATTAAAATTTATGTAATTTAATTTTAAATTATATTATTAAAATATATATCAATATAATATATCATTAATTACAGAATTTAACAGAATTTAATACTGCACATAATAGACGTATATCTATGTTAGGCATTACAGATGATGAAATTCATAAACCAACTAGAAAACGAAAGAAAAAAGGAATTACTTTCAATGATGATGAAGAAGTAATAAATCCGGAAGATGTTGATCCATCAGTTGGAAGATTTCGTAATCTTGTACAAACTACTGTCGTTCCCAGTAAAGTAAGAATTAGTACTCTCATTTATTGTTAAATTTAATATTGATTATATTATTAATTTATTAAATTTATTGTTGATTTATATTTTAGAGAATGCGTATGGAAGGAGGTTTAATATCTCTATCAGAGGATCATAATCCTTTAAAACATCTTCAGCCAATGACAACTACACCTCAGCTTTATCAAGATTTACCACCAGAACAGTTTACTCCATCGTCGTTATCTCTTAATCCATTTTCTAGTGCATTATCTTCACTATCGTCTCGACTTGGTATTGCATTACCAAATCCAGCACCTGAGGTAGAAATGACACCAAATCAAATACAAACAGAAACACCACACATACCTGAAATACCAGGACCTACTGATACACGAACAATGGAACCAAAAAAGAAAAAATACGCCAAAGAAGCTTGGCCTGGCAAAAAACCCATTCCAACACTTTTGGTGTAATAGTATTAAGGAACTTATTTTTATTAGACAGTTCTTTATTATTTGAAATTTAGAAAATTAAGTTATATAAGAATCTGTGCATAAATTACTCGTATAATAAATTACTTTAAGATTTTAGTTAATATTAAGTAACTGTTTACTAATTATATTAGTATCTTCTTATTAACTATATTACTATCTTTTGAAACTATCATTAAATTTATTTTAAGAGAAACCGACTATAATTGTATTTAAATAGTAATTTGTTTTTCATTTATATATATTATCAATTTAAATTTAAATATTTATTATACTTTTCCAAGGAAATGAAAATTGTAATTAAAATTTCTTGTAAGATAAACATAAATAAATAGAGTTTTATCTTGTTTTAACATTAAAAAACAAATGTAATATTAAGGAAATGTTACAAAAACTTTCTTGTGATACAATATTTTGTCACTAAAAAAAAAATATCTTTGTTAATATAATCGGAAAAGTTTATTTCATTTATATGTAATAATCTATTATATTTATTTTTCATTATTTTTTTTATTTAAGTAAAAGTATGATAATTTATATTAGTTAAGTATATTCTATTCCTTGTCTTAAGAAAGTAGTAAATAATCGTTCTTCGTATATTTAATATAATTATATTGATTAATTTTAAAAGATTAAAATTCTTAATTAATTAAATTTTTATTATTTAAAAATTAAAGAATATTTTATAATTTTATACATTTTATTATCCAAGTTGATATTTTATAGTGAATAAAAATTTTTCTATAATATATTAAAGATTATTCAAAGATTCAAGAGAAGAAAAATTAAAGTTTCTGTTTATTTTATCAATATATAATTTTATAAATTCTATAAAAAAATAATTTTATTAAAAAAGTAAAAATAAATAAACAAATCACAAGACATAAGAAGCATAGTATAAAATAGCAGTTTTTCTTTTATACACAATTAATTTAATTATGTATAAATTTTTTTTGTTGGGCAGCTGGAAAATGCCAAAATACTTATACGAATTGCATTTTTGTTTGTTAATATTCTAATGAAGCATCTGGTGTAGTTGACGATTCGAGTGCAACTTCTTCATAATCTCTTTCCAATGCAGCAAGATCATCTCGCGCTTCTGCAAATTCACCTTCTTCCATACCTTCTCCAACATACCAATGGACAAACGCTCGTTTGTGATACATAAGATCGAATTTGTAATTTAATTTAGACCAAGCTTCCTCAATAGCAGTTGTATTTGATAACATTGAAACTGCCCTTTGTACCTATACCATATTAATTATTATATAACTTTTACGTACAGTTGAATTTTAATGTTTTAACTATAATACGTAGAAACAATGTTATGAAATATTAAATTTTATTGTTATTATTTAATTGCTGTTGACGGTGACATATTTACATAATAATTAATACCTTGGCAAGGTCTCCGCCAGGAACAACGGTAGGGGGTTGATAATTGATACCGACTTTAAAACCAGTTGGACACCAATCAACGAAACGTATGCAACTTTTTCTCTTCATTGCGGCAATCGCAGCATTCACATCCTTTGGTACGACCTCGCCACGATAAAGTAAACAACAGGCCATGTATTTTCCTTCACGAGGATCACACTTGACCATTTGATTAGACGCTTCGAAACATTCAGATGTTATCTCCGCAACGGACATTCCTTCGTGGAAGGCTTTATCAGCCGATACCACAGGGGCATAAGTTGCCAATGGAAAATGAATTCTAGGATATGGTACCAAATTTGTTTGAAATTCCGTCAGATCTACATTCAGAGCACCATCGAATCTCAAGGAAGCAGTTATCGAAGATACCACTTGACTAATAAGACGATTCAGATTCGCATAAGAAGGTCGTTCAATGCCAAGTTTTCGCCTACAGATATCATAAATCGCTTCGTTGTCTACCATAAACGCACAATCCGAATGTCCGATCGTGGTATGAGTAGTAAGGATAGCATTGTATGGTTCGACAACTGCGGTAGATACCTAAATATTGTTTTTATTTATGGGAATATATATATATATGAATTATGTATGTAGTTCTGTATAAAACAATTATATGTATTATATATATATATATGTAATATAAAATATATATATAATATAAAAAATATATATATATATAAAAGACAAAAAAAAATAAAAATAAAAATAAAAACAGAAACATCTGTTGGTTAGTTATATGCTTGCTTCACAATTTTCATACTTGTGGTGCTGGATATACAGCAAATTCTAATTTGCTCTTTTTTCCGTAATCATCGGACAATTTTTGCATAAGCAACGAGGTGAATCCTGAGCCTGTACCTCCTCCAAATGAATGAAAGACAAAGAATCCTTGAAGTCCAGTACACTGATCCGTCAATCTTCTCACCCGATCCATTACAGAATCTATTACTTCCCTACCAATAGAATAATGACCGCGAGCATAATTGTTCGCAGCGTCTTCTTTTCCTGTGATTAATTGCTCAGGATGGTATAATTGTTTGTAACGTCCTATTCTTACTTCATCTGTAGAAAATTTTATCATATTCATAATTCTGAACATCACTTAGCTGTATAATGTTTCAAAAGATTTTACGATTTGCAATAAGATTTCTTTTTTATGAAAATTAAACTAACCAACGACTGTGGGTTCTAAATCAACCATCACAGCACGCGGTACCATTTTTCCAGAACTTGTTTCATTAAAAAATGTGTTAAAACAATCATTTGTTCCGGATACTTTGTCTGATGGTATTGTCCCATCCGGTTGAATTCCATGTTCGAGACAATACAATTCCCAACATGCGTTGCCCATTTGAACACCTGCTTGGCCCACGTGCATTGAAATACACTCACGCTAAAATTTATAATTTTTTTTATCGATTGACAATTAAATAAAAATAGATCTTCGGTCAATTTGTCATATTATAAGATATAGAAAATTTATATATTATACATTATTAAAAAAGATATAAAAACATATTTATATATAATAGTATAGTGGACTATGAATTTCATTTAAATATGTCATACCATTTTGATTATTTTTTAATAACACGTATCTTGAAATATTATTTTAGATTTTTTTAAATTGTTGAACCGAAAAAAAATTAAAAATTTTTATTAATTACAAGAAATTTTGGAAATCGGCCATCCGCTACCCAAGAAAAATACTGTGAATATAATTTATTTTAGTTGTCTGGACAACGAAACCATATAATGAAATAAAATAAAAAAAAAAAAAGAAAGTTGAAAATATCATACATATACTTTGTTTGATTTTTCATCGAATAAAATATTGATAAAGTATATTGTACATATATATAAAAATATAAATTATATAAAAATATATATCGTTACATTAGTTATATTAGTTTATATTTTATAATAAATATATTTATTTATATAATGTAAAATTTATAAAACTTTCGTAATTTTTAATAATAATAGACATTTATTATATTCTTTATATTTGTAAAATATTATTTATCATACATATAATTTTTAATAAAATATATATAATCAGCATATTTTAATATATTTTTTTAAAATGTTTATTTTCATTATATGTTAATAAATAAAACAAAAAATATGTATTATTTTTTTCTATTTTATTTGCATTATTATGATTTTTAAAAATAGATAGCTAAAGATAACTTGTTAATATTTAGGACAAGTTAATAACCTTGATTTTTTGTTACATTTTCATTTCTTATAGATAAATATTGTGTAATAATTCTTTATCTAAAAAGACTTATGTAATCATATTTAATCGATCGAGTACATGTTTGTGCACGTGTCATGATTTGTCTTGTAATCATCTTTTAATAGGTTTCTTAGTACTTTGTATCGTAACAGGAAATCCTACCAATCGGTTAAGAGAATCTGAATTGTTATTTGTGACTGTTTGATGATGACGTAAAGAATTACTCTTGAATGTAATGCGTTAGAATGACTTGTTGTCTACTAAACAATTTTTAAGCGCAGCATGATTTGTTCTTATACGAATAGCTGTAATATGTGTAATACAATTGATCATGGATACTAGTAAGAAACATAATAATCCAAATCCAAAATTATCGGCAAATTTTTTTAGTAAATTAGTATTTTGGTAAGTTTTTCATAATAATAAATAAATTATTATTCATAATTTATTTATTTACATAATTTATTATTTATACTTTTCTAAAAACTAACTATTTTATTATTACATTTAAGGTGGTTAAAACCCCTATTTTGGTATGGAAGAAATCATGATCTTGAACTTAAAGATATTTATAATGTTATGCCAAATGATGTTAGCCAACATCTTGGAGATAAACTTGAAAGGTAAATATTAGTATACTTTATATGAGATTAATGAGCAAAGATGTTCAAATAAAATTTATATCGTAAAATATATTTACATTATCTTCATGTTTAGAAATTGGATTAAAGAGATAAAATTAGCAGAGGAAACTAATAAAAAGCCTAAATTTTTTAATGCTTTAAAAAAGACATTCGCATGGTCATTTGCTTATTATGGAGGATGGCAATTTTTTTTAGCAGTTATTTTAAGGTAAATAAAAAATTTCTTATGTTATTGTGTTATTATGTTATTATTGTTATATTATTAATTTGTTATGTTATGTTTTGTAATTTTTTATTATAAATAATATTATAATAATATTCATAATTTATTCATAATTAATTATTCATAATTAATTTCAGAGTTTTACAACCATATGTATTAGGTTTTCTTATTTGGTACTTCGATCCTAGAGCAACATCTACTGCCACTGAGGCATACATTTATGCTTCATCTGTTGTACTTATATCCTTACTTGGAGCTTTAATTAATCATCACTCTATGTTAGGTTTAATGGAAGTGGGAATGAGAATGAGAGTAGCATGTTCTTCTTTAATATATAGAAAGGTGAAACAAATGATCATTTAAAAATTTATATGTATTCAAATGTTTGAAATAGATTTTAATTTCAGATTTTACGTTTATCAAAATCTTCTACCAATATTACTACTCCAGGACAAATTATAAATTTACTCTCAAATGATGTAGCAAGATTTGAACAATTATTTATAGCAGTACATTATATTTGGATATTACCGATTCAAGGTGCTCTAATTACTTTCATGATATGGAAGAGTGTAGGAATTGCATCTTTAGCTGGAGTTTTTCTTATAAG